TTTTTTTATATTTTGAAGAATTAAATGAAATGCAGATATATTTATAATCCGCTGTAGTGTTTCAGGGGTTTGTATTCCCACTTAAATTCTCCCTCTGTCTCTCAGTATGCTGGCATCAACATCGGTCCTGTCCACAAGAAGGACGTCATGAAAGCTTCCACTATGTTGGAGCGTGATCCACAGTATGTATTCTGATCGATGCATAATATATCTCCTCTTGTCAGATTGTTATCCTAATCATTCGCTCTCTCATCCTATAGGTATGCAGTGATCCTGGCTTTTGATGTGAAAATAGAGCGAGATTCTCAGGAGCTGGCCGACAGCCTCGGTGTGCGTATTTTCAGCGCCGAGATCATCTACCATCTGTTTGATGCCTTCACCAAATACAGAGAAGACTACAAGAAACAGAAACAGGATGAGTTCAAGTGCGTTATCTACTGCCCTCATCCTCCTCTTCTTTTTTCATCAGACATACACTACCGTTCAAAAGTTGAAACTTTTAGTTAATGCTAAAAATTAATGTTTATTCAGCAGGGAATTATTTAGAAGTAACAGTAAAATGTTCTACTGTTGTACAAGTGTTGTTCTTTTAAACTTTCAATTCAACAGAATCCTGAAAAATGTCAGTTTCTATAAAAAATATTAAGCAGCAACTGTTTTTAACATTTGATAATCTTGAGCAGGAAATAAGGATATTAGAATGATTTCTGATGGATCATGTGACACTGAAGACTGGAGTAATGGTGCTGTATATTCAGCTTTGCATCACAGGAATAAATTTCATTTTAAATGGAAAACAAATTGTAATATTTTCCAATATTACTTGACAATATTGTTTTGCTACATTTTGGATCGAATAAATGCAGCCTTCGTGATCATTAGAGAATTCTTTCAAAAACATAAAAAAATCTGAAAATCCAACCCCGCACTTTTGAGTGCTAGTGTACAATTCATCATTCACTCACCTGAGTCATTTTACATAACAAACAAGACTAAATTCTGTAAGGCTGTGGTTACAGTGGTTTGTTTGAAAAACAGGTAATTTCTCCTGAATGTTTGCAGTCTGAATATCTGAACGTTTCTCTCTTTTTCAGACACATAGCCGTGTTCCCCTGTAAGCTGCGTATATTGCCCCAGTTCATCTTCAACTCCAGAGATCCCATCGTCATGGGTGTCACTGTGGAGGCTGGAGTACTGAGGACGGGCACTCCTGTGTGTGTGCCCAGCAAAGGGGTGAGACATGTAGAGAGAACGTACACTTTCAGCTCAACAATGAATGACGCAGAACAACTCTGTGCCTCTACTGTCAGTTTTTACATTTTAACAGTTCAAGGGAAAAGCTTGAATAGTTTGCATTGATTTGGTCCACCTTTTCTCTCTCTCTTTCTCTTAGTTTGTAGATATTGGCATTGTGACCGGTATCGAAATAAATCACAAGTCTGTAGACAGTGCTAAGAAAGGACAGGAGATCTGTGTGAAAATCGAGCCAATTCCTGGAGATGCACCCAAGATGTACGGCAGACACTTTGAAGCTGTAGACATCATTGTTAGCAAGGTATGCTCTCTCCCTGCATCCTGAACTAAAGCCACTGGAGCTCATAGGATGCTTAGTTTTTTGTTTTTGTTGAAAAAAAAAAAAAACCTAATACTAGGCCTGTCGCGATAACAGCTTTTTGTTGTGTGATATATTTTGTGCCAGAAATTATTGCGATAAGCGATATTATTGTCATTTTAAAGACCATTTTATGCCACTGAATATATAATCATAATGTAACAGCATAATAATGCAAGAAGGCCTACACACTTCCAAATGACAACAAACTTTACATTTTTAAGAATATTTAGATCATCAAAATATTCGATACCTTAAAAAACCTGAATAAATATTAAATAAACATTTTCTAACAAAAAAGTAGAAAAAAAGAAAAATGCACAAAGAACTTGTATGGAGATTTTTCCATCTACGGATTTTTCCCTGACCTTCTTTTCTCTGTAAATGAAGGGTGCACACTATTGCTGAAAAACACAATCACTACTTAGCAGTCAGATGTCCGTATGCACAAAGGCACAGATCCCTAAACAAGGCCATATCTGCAGATGAAACTTTTTTTGTAGAAGCATTTTTTAAATTTGAACTAGCTCCTCATGACTACACCACGTTATGTACAAGAAGCTGCAGAAGACACAGGCGCAAGTGGAATGTACAAAACATGGTGACATTAATTTTTAAGTAAATATAATGGGCGATACATTGCGTCACCAAAAATTATTGCGGTCATGTACATATATTGCGTCTATATATTGATTATTGCGACAGGCCTACCTAATACAAATGTTAAAGCATATATTTAAATGCCATTTAATTCATATTTACTTCCTTTATCTTATGTAGATCACCCGTCAGTCGATTGATGCTCTGAAGAACTGGTTCAGAGACGAGATGCAGAAATCAGACTGGCAATTAATCATGGAACTGAAGAAAACCTTTGAAATCATCTGAACACACCAGTGACTGTGACTGACGTAGATCTCAAATGCCCCCCTGTGCGCACATACAAACGCTATACGTTGTACACTCCTAAAGGTCACGTGTGATTCTGGAGTCATCAGTGTCGCTCATACATTTAAGGACATTTGTACTCCGACACAGCCTTGCACAGTCCCGTATCGAGGACTAGTTTCTCGTATGCATGGGCGAAAACTCACAACACTCCTCTTTTCCTCTCCAACTCTTTTTGGGTGGTGGGGAGTGTTGGAGACAAAAAAAAAACTTTTTTCTGTGAGAAACTGAAACTATTACCACCGTTTTAAACAGTGACAAATGTTAGAAAATGTTAGACAACCTTTACAATTATTCCAAACGTGCCTGTTCTCTCTTGATCAATCCAGTTTATTTTTCTGAGGTCTGACCTTAGATTTACATCAAAAGTTATAAAGTGACATCAGTGTGGCTCTCGTGAATGACTGCTGGAGATTTCGCCAGGGTTTTAGATATCTAAAAAACACTTACCTTATCAGTATTTTCATTTGCCCTGCTTTTTTCTTTCCTTTCTGGAGTGCAGTTCTTAAATAGTCCTTTTTAAAAGTATCATCCCAGCCAGAAACGGACTCTCTCCTCGTCTCCCTCTCTCGGGTTTCCTTTGTGCCCACGGACACCTTCACCCGGAGTGTGTGAACTTGGATGAAAGGCCCTTCCCGTCCTCATTTTGAATATGAAATATCAAAGAAATTGACAGGTGAAAATCAACAATAACGAGATGGCCTATTTATAGACGTTGTTCTTTCTTAAGTTTTGGTTTTGGTGATGATAAATACACAGGTTAATATTACAAAAGAAGAAATAGGCATTGTATTTTGTGTAAAGAAAAGGAGACCAATTTTGAGCACCACAAAGATTTGTGACATTATTTTTGCTCAAATGTCAATAGGCAGTTATAATGTGGGAAAAGTCATCCTCATTTCTGATGTGAAATTTTTTTTTTTAAATTACTAAAATGAAATATGCATCATGGTAGTTTTAGTTGTAGGCGATTTAATTTATGCTGGTTTTATTCATTAAAAATTGTATTGACAGAATGGTTTTCAGTACTTCATTACAGCACATAGGATGTATATTAATTTATTTATTGCTATATTACATGAGAATTTGAGTGAAAATGTGCTTGATTTTTATGAAAAGGTTTGAAAATCCTAAAGGTCCCTACATTTTTTTTTCTTTCTTTGTGAAATACAATGAATTCCAGTCAGTGACCAAACGTTGTCGTGTGGGAAAAAAAGGTGTATTTATGTATTTATTTATCAAAGAGTTTAAAAACTCCTTAACTGTCACCGTCCCACCTGTGGGACGTTTGGCACCCTTTTTATTTTTTTTGTCCTTTTTCTCTATCAAATCTATTTTCTTTTTAATTCGTCTGTGGGTTTTTAGGAACGGCAGAGGGCGCCATGGGTACATTTGGATTTCAATGGAATAGTATTTGGCATCAGCGCCTTTTTTTTTTTTATAATTTTTGAATTTTGCTGAAGATTTTACTCAAATAGTTTGTTTTTCTCCACCTGTGGACACGTGATGTTAAATATATTATATTCACTAATAACATACTACCTAATATTGTCTTTCATATGCACTCTAGTGCTGCTAAATGCCTAATATGTCAATGCGTTTGTTTCTTTAGTCTTTAAAGTATTCAGTGACCCGAGCTGCGTGAATTAGGTGTCATGTGGCGGAAAACAATTGCAGGCTGTTGATTTTGGTTTAACACTAGCTGACATCCTGCCAGATGAAAGAAGAGGAGAGAGAAACCGGACCTGCCAGATAACCCTAAACAGATCGTCATCCCTAATATCCAGGGGAAAGGAGGGATCAGAGCCCTCGCTCCAAACATCCCTCTGCCGCTGCGCACTACACAGGATATCTGTCATTTCACAAAGCCCTGCATATTCGTTTGCTTATGGATTATTGAGCTTTAGACGCATATGAGGTCATGAATTCGGCTGAACAGACCATCACATGGTTAATAACGCTGGGCGTCCTGGAATCACCCAAAAAGACGCTATCGGACCCAGAAGGCTTTTTACAGGCATCTCTCAGAGATGGAGTGGTTTTGTGTAAATTGCTGCAGCGGCTGCGACCCGGTTCGGTTCACACGGTAAGCTGTTGGTCAATGAGCTCATGCAGTTCCATAACAGAGTACATAAATGACACAAAAGCACTGGTGTTTTTGTGAATCGGACACACGAGACCTTTGTATTTGTCTCCGCGCGCGCGTTTTGCGTTCGCTGAGAGCGCTAGCCAGTGTAAATTTGTATATTAAGATACTGTTTCCTTAAACTTTAAGTTCTTAATTTAATTTCTTTTAACTATGAGTGAAAGGAAATTGTGTAAAAAAAATTGTAAAGGAAATCTCGTATAACCTGCGGTGACGGGGCAAGAGTGGTATTTTAATAATAATCGCAATGAAATAGTGATCAGAATATGGGGACCATAAATAAATATATATTAACGGAAATTAACCGTGGAAAATTAATTTGCCTTTATGAGTCGACCGCCATTAACTGGTAGAGAGGGAGAGAGGAAACGACGATGTCCGGTTTGTGAACGAATTGTTTTTGAGTTGGATCTTTTTAGTGAATCAGTTGAGCACCTGTCTGAATGATTCATTCGCGAATCGGACTCTTTGAACAGAACCGTGTCATTCGGACGCGTCCTAGTTAATGAGCCAAAAACTGATGCATGAACAAATACTACAAATTCTTCTTAAATTCCGTTTTTATGAGCCGAATCGTGGCTGCACTGATTGATTTGGGACACTTTAAATTACAGTGAATAATCAAACGAAATATTCCTCAGTGGGACGTCATGCTCCGTTGTTTTTTGAACCGGTTCATTGGAACGAACTGTTCGAAATAACCGATTCGCGGAAATGAATTGAACCGCTCATCACTAGAAATATTTCTACTAACAGTGAAACATTACTTTCTCACAATTAGACAATTTTAATAAAAAAAATCTGCTAATGGAGCAGAGTAATTGAATTTGAGCACATTTCAACACAATATTAAAGTGTTTATTTATTTATTTAGTCTTTGCAGGTAGGCTAGGATGTTTATTTGTAACTGTATGGAGTTTAGTATTATTTTTATGTTATAATGTATTATATCCACATACGCTTTGATATAAACGATAATGTGGATGTATTTAATTAATAATTCATAAACATTTTATCAACCACAGTCTCGACAGCCAGCGTAGTAGAATGTATTCTAATATATACAGATCAGTGATTCTAATTTATAGGCAATACAATATAATCTGAAATCATCGATGCTGATATGATCGCAGTAATCGTTTGATTTTATAAAATGTCTGATGCTAAACAGACTGTGAAAAGTGGAATGCTGCAATCAAAGCACAGTTTCATTGACAGGCTCTACTGTATAAACAACACGTCGCATATAGGTACAGCATTTCGTGAAGATGCTAGACTTTGCTCTGACAGGTCAGGTAGTGTTTGCCTGTGCCAGCATGCCCCTCTCTCTGAACCCAACCGCAAGCTATTAGCTCACGTCATTTCCGCTATTCCTCCGCCAACTTCCCTATGAAGAATAAGTGGCTTTTTGCAGGAACGGGGCGATGAGCCGTGATATAAACAAATGGCATATTCGCATAACTTTTTGTTTATTCTTTGACCAACCTGCTTGGAAGAGGATTTATCTGTTCGCTTTATTTTCAGATCTACCAGGACCCGAGGAAAGACGAGTGTCTGAGTAATATCAGAGAGTTTGTGAAAGGCTGTGCATTATATCACATAGAGGTGAGTGCTGCATGATCTTTGAGCGTCTGTTGTAGTCGTTCATTTCATTTGCATGCTCGTTCATATTTCTGGTCACTGATTCAGTGGCTTGTTTGTGTGGTTTGAAGGCAAAGTTGCAAAGTCTCAGCTGGAGTTGGGAACAAACTAATCCTGTGTGTTTTGGTTTTAGAGTTATTATTACATTGGTAACAATGGCATTGAGTGTTATTGCGGCATTTTGACTTGTTTTACCATGACAATTTCTTAAATGATTCATGCAACATTGCTTTAATGTTCTTTCTGCAGTGTCTCATTTGTAGATGTCCAGGTAGCTTGCTGTATTTTATGTTTACAGGCGGTGATAAGTCAAGCTGTGGAAGACAGATTTGATTATAAAAGCATTTAAAGGCATGATATCTCCATCGATAATCAATTTATAAGAGCCCTGTGGACTGTGTTAATTTTGCAATTAATCACTAAGGATGAGAATGAGAATTAACTGAAACGTGACTGTCCAAAATTACACACAAATGTGACAAATGCCAAGAACAAGTATTTCAGGAAAATAATATATATATGTAGGCTACATATTTTAGTTTATTCAGAATATTATTCCAGTGTATTCCAATAGCTGTAAAGAATCTAAAAGTCTGTATGTGGGCCTTAAACTCAAAATGATGTGTGTGTAAGTCATACATTTTATTTCTATACTACCTTTTCATAATACACATTGTTTCAAAGCAGCATCACAGAAAATCATGATGTTTGTAATATCTTAATGCCTTATTATCACATTGATCAAATTAGAGCTGGTTGATAACATAGGTTACATTTTGCAACAATATAAACAATCAAGCAGTTGAGATTTGCTATACAGTGGTTTACTTGAGAATACTGAATGTAAGTGCCACATGGATAAAGTTGGATTTACTTGTATATCAAACTTCTAAATAGAGCTGCTGTGCCATAAAATATATAGTTTACATGGCAAGGGGACCATGATCTTGGTGAAACAGTTGTAAACAGCGACTGCTGAATTACAATAATGAATGTCCGATATTTAGTGTAACGTTTCATAATAAACACTTTCACTTCAGTAATTTACAGAGTGTAGCTAAGTGTTAGCGGGCGTTGCCCCTGACAATTTTCAATGCCAGGTAAAATTAATTCAGAGTTGTCCAGACTTGTTTATCAAGAGAAGTTCTTTGCTGAAAACTGCAGTGCGTTGTAACAGTTTTTTTTACACTGCTGATATGCTATTAACAGTTCATATGTTTGTAAACATGGTGTTCTGGCAGCTCCGTCTCCACGCAAGTCCAATAGGTGTTGGTGTGAGATTGAATCAGATCCTTCACCCACACAGTGTTTTTATTGGCGTTAGAGCCAGTGCTATTGTTAAACCTACTTTTATGGCTAGATTTTGTGCTCAGATCCAGCTCTGCCCATTTTTCCTCCAGATATCTACAATATGTCTGTACAGGCAATTGCATGTTGTTTCTTGGGAAAAGCATGCAATAGACAGCACAGTATGCAGCTATAAATTATTCACATTATAGTGCAATGAACTGTCACATGACCTTTGATTTACTGCAATCTCTAAAGTCTAGCGCTGGCTGTGTAATGAATTGCATTCAGATCTTATGTGATGGCAGCATGTTATTTTGAAAGTGACGCTTTTCTCAACAACTGCTGTTATGTCAGTGAAAGCTGTTTTTAATTTTTGAATGTCACATTTTTTTTGTCCCTTTTAACTGTTTTTGGGAAATCTGAGAGTGATTTTTCTTCACAAACAATTCTGTGCTTGATAACGTTTGCCAGCGTGATGGTGTAACTGAGATCGAACTGTCACATGACCTTTGATTTACTGCAATCTCTAAAGTCTAGCGCTGGCTGTGTAATGAATTGCATTCAGATCTTATGTGATGGCAGCATGTTATTTTGAAAGTGACGCTTTTCTCAACAACTGCTGTTATGTCAGT